TTACTTTTTCTTTGTCATTTCAACGGTAATGAGAGCATATGAATATTTTGAAAACCAGACTGAACCGTTTTTTTGCCGCATCCCTCCCCACTTTCAATTGTCAAGTACAGAATTCGAACTTTGAATCTGATTGAAAAAAAACATTACCATTTGTCCGGACTGATTTGATCGAATTTATGATTAATATATAGCCTAAGATAATATTTAGGGTTTGAGTGTTTCTTTTTAATATTTAGCTATGATTATGCTGGAACAGCACTTGCAGGGGAAAGCAAACCCAAGAAGACAGAAAAATAATAATTCTTTGTGTCATAGTAGCTTCGTAAGAAAAACAAGACAAGAGGACAAAAACAAAAAAAAAGAATAAGTAGGTGTCATAAGAAATTTGTAAGCACAAGAATTTAGACGACAACATCTCTCAATCATATCAATTTTCTAGTTGAAATGAAAACCATTCTTGGACTCATTTTAGTGCATGAAAAGATGTCAATAACAGTCCAATTTCCTCACAACTTCTTTTTTTATCCCTCTCCTTTCACTAAATCAATGATCTAAAACGTCCAACAAATTATACAACTGCCAAAAATTAACCAAGCAGAAAATTATGGGCAGTTGTCTTTAAGACTTCCAATCCACATTAGCATAAAGATTTAGACTTCAAAATTCAGAAATGCATTTGCTGTTTGTGGTCAAATGCTAAGCAATATAGCTTTGCATCCCAGAAAAGGTTCCCCTTTTTCGTGACACTTGTGGCTACTCGACGAAGAGTTTTGAACACCTTTGTCTACTTTGGCTTCATTTCAATGGTTGGAGAGTTGGACAAGTTGAATAGCCATTGATGCTTTGGAACTTTCTTTCACATACTGGCCAACACTATCAACGAAAACAGTGGTCAAAACTTGGAATTGTCTCTTCATCGATCGTTCTGAAATTATTACAACAAAGAAATCTCTCCAAGAAATTGTTTGGAAACTTTTACATAATCAAAAATACAGAATCTGGAAGTCTTCAGGTAAAGCCTTAAAGTCACCATAATGACTATATGTTCTTTATAAGTCACCAAAAAAAAAAAAGTGTTGACAGTTAGAAACCTTTATGTGAATTGTTCGGCTTAGAACAGAGCAAAATCAATGGTCCCTATGTATTAACTTTTGAAAGCAAATCAGAACATGCATCTGTCTACTGTCCCTATGTGAGCTCTTGCAGGCTAGTCCCTTGATGTTCTCAAAGTTTTATTCAATCAATGGCGCCAATAGCCACATAGTTTGCAGCAAGTTTATGAGAAGGGGTTGCAATACAATCAACCCGTTGTATCAGCTTTAGATCACCTTTTTTTTAACCAGGAAATGGAGAGATTTAAGAAGTGGAGAGGAAAAAAATGAAATATTTGAATCTAAAATTTTTAATTCTAGATTTGTTAATTTTAACAACTAAATCAAGACCTCCTGGAAAGCTTTAAATCACTTGGTTTGGTTCCATTAAGTGCCTTTTTTTCTTTTGTTTTGTTTTCATCTTTTCCATTTTTTCTCCCGAATCTCTTAATCGTCTTGATTTTTCATGTACATCCACCGTACCATTGACTAGACATGTCAATGGGTAGGATGTAGGTCAGATCTTTTGATTTAGATCCAAACCCATTAAATTTAGATAGATCTATGCTCAAAACTAACTGTTATAGATCTGAAAAAGTAAGTCTAGACCTATATCCTCATCGATTTGGATATCCAATGGATATCCGTTATATTTTTTGAAATACTAAAGTAAAAATATATTTAAAATATGTAGTTCAACAATAATATAAATAGCATTCAATTTTTATTTTCAAATAATAAAATTAATATTCAAGAAACTATTATGAACTCAAAAAAAAACTATTATCGAATAGTTCTATTTATTTTTAAAGTTTCAATTGTAACCACGCCCAATCTTTTATTTGTTTGCTTTACTTTTCTCCTTTTTCTAAAAAAATTTGTATCAATTACAATAACAACTAGGATTAACTTGAAAACTGAAAACAATCATGAAACTTTACTATATTCGATCCAATAACCATAAAATATTAGATTATTTTATAAATTTACTAATATACATGTGTGTGTATGTGTGCATATCTATACACATATGTGAATCTGGGTAGGGTTTGATACGTGTATTGGTTTGGGTATGAATATCTTATAGAGTCTTGATTTGAGTAGGGTCTAAGTTTGAGAAACTAATTCTAAACTCTATCTAAATATCTTGGGTCTCGGTTAAATTTCAATTTACCTACCAAAGTTTTTAAAATATACAAGAGTACTTTTGCACATCTTCTCCTTAACCTTACTTCCGCCAATGCACCGTTCGAAACAATTAGAATGACATGGGTTTAGCAAGCAAGCCAATTAATTACGTTCAAACTCAAACAATTCATTCTTGAGTAAATGCCAATTGAACAATAAGTTGACCAAAAACGTTCCTAATTAAAAAAATCAAACAACATATACTAATATCCTCTGATTCTCCATAGATTTTTGTGCATAAACACGCAATCTTCAATCAACTCTCCAAAATCTCAACTGGTAAGCAAAAGCCACGTATGATGAATAACAATTGATTACGTTAAAAACTTAATCAGAATATAGAACAAATTATCTAAGACAAAATATAAGCAGTCGCTAGGACATTAGTGCCATTACTTCTTTGCATCCTCCTCCTTGCATTTGCATTTTTCCATGAAATGAAATTGTTAGGATAATTAATCCAAGCTTCCTAATAGTTGTTGTTTCTTCTTTTAAAATTAGACGTTCAAGTATAGTCCAATTTTAACAGCTTACTTGTTTAAGATATAGAAGAGTTATTTGATAATTTCATTTCTTAGTAGCTTCCTAATTACCAAGTCATGGGAGTGTGTTAGTATTATATTCAGTTGAGAACAATGGGCGAAAATTTTTTACAGAGTTCTGATTGCTGTAAAAATAATCTCAGTGTACTTTATGTATTTATGATTATCAAACTCCTCTTTTTTCACACACACATATATACATATGTATATATATATATATATATATATATATATATATATATATATATATATATATCAAATAGGTCCAATTATGAGTTCCCCTTGTAATCATGCAACTTGAACTTGCCGAGCTATATAGCGACTGAAAGGCACCACTCGCCTATTAGGCTTTAGCCCAAGTCTGATTCAAGAAAATTTGAAGGCGAAATTGTGTCGAACTTTTTGGACAATTATCAGGCACATCAATCAGAACGTTTGACTGTGGCCATCCGCCTTTTATTGCTTGTTGTTTTCAGTGGAAAAGAAGCAAAACTTTGCTTTCATGCGTCTGCGATTATCAAACTTCTCTTCTTTCTTCTGCATATTTTTATGTGTCAAATATATTTTCGCTATATGTACGTTTTAGCCCCTACAAAAGCTTGATAAGAGGCAGAAATAGGCCAAATTATTAGGTTGCTGGTTTCACTCGTCAGCAAGGGACCCGGGGCTGGAACGGTTGTCAGTGCAACCGTTCCGGAAGCTTGTGTGCAAAATGCATACGATGTAACATCATTTGTACACGATATAACACTAGAACAACAGCGAGTAACACTAGAACAACATTTTATGGGTCCCACGCATATTTAAATCTGGACCATACAAATTTTGTTGGCCAAATCTTGGCCATTAACTGGCCCCTTTTCCGTCAGGAAGCAACTTGCCTTAGCTAGCTAGCGGCTGAAAGGCACAACTCGACTATTAGGCATTAGCCCAAGTCTAATTCAAGAAAATTATGGTGCAGTTATCAGGGCACACCATTCAAAAGCATTAGATTGGGGGGCCATCCGCCATTTATTGCATGTTGCTTTCAGTGAAGTCAAATTCATCACGGCCATCTAAAAAGATGTACAGAAGGGTGGCTACCACAGCACGACAACAGGTGTCCTGTTGAATCCGATAAGCAAAATTTTTCAGATCATACCTGTTCTTTTCAGCAGTTCAGACGTGTCTGCCTACCAATATGTCTCCATTCATCATCCTTGTTCTAAGAAATTCACTGCACAGTAGCAATGGTGGTGTTTCGGGATCACTGACATGGGAAGTGTTCTTCTGTTGGCATTTCTTGTTTGCTTCGCTACAGTTGAGGGGATCATGTTGAGTGCTGCTCATTTCGTTCAAGCAATTTCCAGCAGTGATTGGCACTGATGCAGTCAAGAATAAAGACATTTCACAATTAGAGCAGTGATTTTGGGAGGTTCAATCTATACACTAGCAAGTTTTCAATCCTTGGCATTCTCCTTAAAAGAAAAGAGGGGATGAGGGAAAATGAAAAAGATAAATTATGCCAATTGAACTTAAGCTTGAATCATGTTGTTCCATCTGAAAGTGTTTAGCAACCTTCTAATTTAGTCCATGACAGTTTTCCTTTATTTACAAGTCATTCTTTGCTTGGCAATCTTTTCGAAGTTGAAACAACAGCAAACACCTTCAAGTTAAAAAGAAATCATCCAAGACTTATGTTACTAACAGGCAACTTTTCTATGTCAATTTAGCTGCACAAATTCTGAGTGAGTACTTAACATAGCACCGTCAGTAGCAACAAGGAGCAATCGCGAAAATCTGCAAAGCAGCCAAGCTATGCTTTTATGGTTTCTTGATCTAGTGAGAATACCTCCTCAATCACAACGAATTTGTAACTGCAGTTCTGTCAAGGAAGAGTTCATCATGGTTAATGTGAGGCCAGAATCCAAACCCAACGCATTCTCAGGCACCAATCCAACAGGGTACTGGAAGTCCACATCATAAAGAAAAATTTTTGAACCAATAGCTAAAGAAGTGCATGTATTTGTAAATGTTCCTAGACCAGGAACCAGACATTCCATGCTCACCAAACAGGTCCAATTAGTTGCCCATTTGCTTGTAGACGTCAAAGAACTAACAAGAATTCCAAAAACATACATACACCTTCATGTTCTGACACATAGGGTCAAGGTTAACTGTACAACCTAATTAAAATCCATTAGCACTTAATAATTAGATCTCAAATATTATTGATGTTTTTCTGTTATCAGATACAACTAAAACATGCAATCCATACTATTTAAACCCAGTCTACAGGGTAAATACAAATCATTCCTCTGTTTTTCTTGCTATGCAGGATGGCATCCTCCACATGAAATTACCCCAAAATTAAAACCTGGAACATATTACACTAAGTTGATTTCTGTACAAACAAGAATGGAAAACAATGTGCTTGCATCTACAACTGACGAACATTGCCACTTCCAGACGGCCAAATATGTTTGTATGGTTTTGCATTAACCTACATCATAAATCTTCATGAAATTCCAAGTTCCCATGATCAGAAGCCTCGTATACATTGGAGTCTTCTGTAGCTTCAGAGCTCATATATGTTGGTGTTTCTGAAATTGATGATTCTTCTGCTGCTTCAAAACTGATTCGAGAGTCCTCATCTGTTGGTGTTTCAGAAACAAGTGATTCTTCGGGAGCTTCAGAACTGCCAAAAGCAGCACTCTGGTAAACTTCGTCGGCAGTATGATCAATAATTTTATTTTCCACGAACTGAGACACCTGAAGCAAGTAGTGCACTCCATTGACAACATCGTACACCATCAACCCAATCCTTCCCCCAACCCAACTACCCAAATGGCTTCCTACAAGATAGCCAAACCTCCCGAACCTCTCCTCTCCAATAAAGCCAACTGAATAGGTGCCAAACAAGGTTCCAGTGCCCCTGAGGAATCCTTCCGTCATGGTACCGCCGAAGTAAAGCGCTTCAAAAAAATCCCATCCTGAAGAAATTATAGGACCTATTATGCGCTTTGCTTGTCGAGTTGCCAGTTTTGCAGCTTTAGCTCCCTCTTTCTGGACAAGCTTGGCTGCGTCTTTGGCAACCAGACCTTGTGCGAGCGCGTCACCTAGAGCACTCTCAATTGCTTGATTCCTTGCTCTTTCAACATGAAGAGATCTGACGTTGTAAGAGTAGAGCTTCACACCCTCCTTTACTAAACATGCAAGGGTTCCAGTGCTCCCATCAAAACAATTCAAGAAGGTAAACTCCCCACTCTTGGAAGCAGCTTCTTGACCAACCAGCTCACGGCATTTTTCAGCTGCAAAACAGCACATCATTAAGAACATTTTTGGAAATAATAGAATTGGAAAGGAAAACAAGAGTTTACGAAACAAATGACTCAATAATCTAGCTAATAACACCGAAGTATGTATTTATGTTAATGTACAGTTTCAAGCATTTATTAAAGTTTAAATTCAATCTTCTTTGAACACAAGTGCTCTGTCAAAAAATAAGAAACTCAAGTTACCTTTATGTCTCTGTTTGTCTGGCATGTTTGTCTGTAAAGTTTGAAACTAAGACTAATGGACATCACTGATGGTGGATTTTTCTTACGATGGTATTAGTGACAGACAGTAGGAAGACCTGCACCTATGTCTGTCATCACAAATATAGATGGCATATAATTCAAATGTGCATGTCTAACTAACATTCACATGAAGAATGTGTTTCCAAAACTCACATCAAGTTTCTTGGAGTAAATAACTAAGTCTAAATAGTTCTTCATATGCTGATGTACAAAATCTTCAAATGCCAACAAAGAGACAGCTGGAGGAGTACCCACAAGAAAGAACCATGCAAGAAAAGCGAAAAATTTGATAAATGGATGCAAAAAAGCAGAAAATGTGAATTGAGAAGTAAAACCACCGAGCAAAAGCAAAAAATATGATAAATGGATGCAAAAAGACAGTTTCAAGCATTTATTAAAGTTTCAATTCAATCTTGTTCGAATCGAAGACAAGTGCTCCGACAAAAAATAAGAATCTCAAGTCAGCTTTATGTCTCTCTCTGCTTGTGTGACACGTATGTCTGTAACATTTGAAGCTAAGACTAATGGACATCATTGATGGTGGCTTTTTCTTACGATGGTATTAGTGACAGACAGTGGGAAGACCTGCATCTATGTCTGTCGTCACAAATAAAGATGGCACATAATTGAAATTTGTATGTCTAACTAGCATTCACATGAAGAATATGTTTCCAAAACTTGTGTCAAGTTTAAGTTTAAATAGTTCTTCATATGCTGATGTCCAGAATCTTCAAATTGCCACGGTTTTCCTATTCCTTTTTATTGAAGAATGTTACGGCAAATGCCAACAAAAAGACAGCTGCAGGAGTACCCACAAGAAAGAACCATGAAAGAAAAGCAAAAAATACGATAAATGGATGCAAAAAAGAAGAAAATGTGACTTGAGAAGAAAAACCTCCGAGCAAAAGTGCAATCACTTTATACACATGATTGTGGGATATACCACATTAAAGGATAGAAAGATGGGTAAATATCTCTAGACTGCTGTTAGTTTTTTAGACATTTAATCAGCAGCTCCAGTTTAGATACAAAGCTTCTCAGATAATGCTAAACCACTATAAGTAGACAGATATGGAGTGGTAAACTGCGCATTGTGGTGGCAGGAGATGTTTAATAAGTCCATTCATACTTTAAGCACCTTTAGAATATGCTCTTCAAAACTGAAGCATGTAAGATAACAGGAATTCCTGTGCCGTAAAGTTCCATGATATAAGATGGACATCAATTTCTATTACTTTCATGAACACTACTTATGTACTAATCATAAATCATTATCTATATAAGGATCTTTAGTTATCAATAGAGAAACTCTCAAAAGTGATATGAAATATGAACTCTTCTATTTATCAAGTGTAAGCACTTACACTTGCTACCAGATTTTGAGCTTTCAATGTAAGCTCCAAGTAAACTTATTTCATCAAACCACACACTAAGGCTGTCTAAATTCCACAACACCACCCCCCCCCCCCCCAAAAAAAAAAAAAAAACACACACACACAAATACCCCCAAAAGAAGGGGGTGGGCGAAGGCATGGCACAACAGACCTAAACATGGTACCACCCATCAACTATTTTTATCACCATGAAGACCACATCAACCAATTTCTAGAAACCTAAAAATGTGAGAAATATTCACAAGCACAAATACCATAAAAATGGAGTAACTCATTCTAATCAAACAGTCTAGTCTTCACTTAACTAAATACCGAGGCCCCGTACTTAGGAGGCAAAAAAACAAAATCAGGTGGTAGATTACTACTAGAAGCACAAATTAAATACTACATCAGTTTCAACATAACTAAATAGATCAGTCATATAATATCATTCATTTTACAAAACTAAATGCACGCTATATGATTTCTCCAAAGACAATATAATTCCAAAGCAAGAATTTAATGACTATAAAGATTAAAAAAGAACATAAATATGCCAATAGGCCAACAATTACTAGTCACAAAGGCCACTCCATTCAAGATCAGTATATGTGCAAATTAATGGCCAATAAACATTTGATTAGCAAGGTAAACAGCAAATTCGCAACTGCACTTTTTAATCCCAAGACAATTTTTTTACCTTTCTTTCAGCATGGTAACTATTAAATTTTAAAAAAAAAAACTGAAATGAAAACTGAAAAACTGGTATCTTGTTGGAGATGTGGATAATGGTAGTAAAAATATTACCACCGATACTGAGAGCAATGACGCCAACCAAGAAGAGCAGAAAATGAACTCTTTTTTTCTCCAGAATCGTCATGCTACTTGGGTTTTGCTTCTATTGATCTGGGCTTTTCTTAAAATCAGAAACTTTGACGTGATCAGAAAATTCTTCTGCTAGCACTACCTACAAAATCTGCTAAATTTTCGCAGGGGTTGATTCCACAGGGGGAATCCAAGAGGTAGAGAGGGACTTGAAGACTTCCGCAACGTGTCTGAATGATCCGTGGAAAGTCAAGAATCTTTTGGATTTCCTGTTCAAGTAAGGAATAATCAATTAATTTTTTTTAAAAAAAGTCAAGGCATAAGGATAAAGGAGCAGAGAAAATAGGCAGTAATTAACTGGATTTGGGCCCCTAACAATTGCAGACAAAGAGGCGGTTAACTGCGTCAAGTCCAGTCCAGTTCAAGATTAATGTAGTCAGTTGCAACCATAGACCCAATGAGAAAGCAAACTATCAATTAGTTTCTCATTTTTATTCTGATATTTACTATGCAAAAAAATTTTGAGTGCCATTTAATATGGAGTTCATTATTTATACCAGTGGTTGAACCATATCCGATATGTGTGCAATTCAAAAGATATCAAAAAAAGATTAGTGTTATTTTTTTTTGTTGGAAAGTAGTAGTTTAAAATAGTTTGATTGTTTTGGTATTTTAGAGAAGTGATAGTTTTTTGTTCGGGAAATAGTAGTTAATTCAAGATGTGGAATAGTTGCAGGGAGGTAAATAGTTAAAATAATGTAATTGTCTTTAAAAATAAGGGTAAATTAAGCGATACGTTAAATGACATAATTTGTTTACATATAAACCTTTCCCTTCCGCTATGATAATAGATTAAGCGACATCAATCAATTTCATGATAGTGTAAAGTTGTTAATTTTGAGTAAGAGTTGTTAAATGGGTTTTTTGATAGTAGTCAAAAATACGAGAGAAAATATGAGAATTCAAGAAATAGGACTGTCGATTGAGTCGGGCCAACTCAAGATCGGTTCGTTTTGGCCCAAAAAAGTCTTTGAGCCTAATCTTTAATTGGGTCGGATAGAATTTGGACCTAATATTAGACCCAAACTAAATATGGGTCGAATTTGGTCTACACTAGGGTCAGACCCAATTAAAGCTCGGCCCATATATGAGTATAATTATATATATAATAATATCTATAATTTATAGTTATACATATTATGACATAAAATGTTAATAATTTATGTAAATTTGTATTAATTCATAATTATAAAATATATATTATATATATAATTATGTATTTAAATATAAGTTTGGGCTAAACCCGATTTGAGTTCGAAACTCATATAATAGTGTTTGTTGAATTTGAACCTTTTAATATGATCCTGAAACTCGAAAAACCGAAATCCAAAATTTCATATAATTTGTGAGTCGAACTTAGACTTGCTAAATCCCAACTTAAAAAACCCAATTGACACCCCTATCGAGAAACCATATATGCTTCTTCTTGTTTAGAAAGGGATGTGGATTTAGACCTAGTTTTTTTTAATTTTTTTACCTTTACATTTAGGTCTACCAATTCAATCAAAATGATTGTAGCTCGATATATAATTTTTTGATGTAATTGTAATGAGAATTGAGAAATAAAAAGAGAGATGATTTCATTTTACTTTATGAAAAACGGAACACATTTTTATGTGTTATTTTCACCTCATCTTTTTTCAGAATTGGAGAGTTTTTTCCTTTTTCCTCCTTTTAATACTTTTCCTTGCTAGAGGCGATTTGTATATTTCAACATTTAGAATGGCACTTAGAAGTTTTAATTGTAGTAAGGGAATCTTTGACAGCTTAAGAATGCCACTTACGAGTTTTAGGAGGGTCGGCTTGAACGGTAAGAAAGTAGAGATTGTAAGTAGAAGGTGATAAATTTAAGACCTCTCACTTATTTAAAAAAAAAAAGGCCATTAGTAAGGGAATCTCTGACAACTTTTAAAATAACAATGGCCATGCAAAGCCCTAGTTTGGAATTTGAAATGGAATGAACCAAGCCAAAAAAGTTCTCAACACGTATGCGGTTCCTTAGCACATGGATTATGAGTAAATTTCTAGGGCTGTTAAACGAACCGAGCTGTTTGGTAGCTCGGTTCGTTTCGATTCGTTTGTGTTCGTGAAAGACTCGTTCGAAACCTTAAACGAACCTAATTCAAACGAATTTTTTTGTTCGATTAATAATCGACTGAACACGAGCATGTTCGCGAGTTTTAACGAACGTTCACAAACATGGACATAATTATCATTTGACAAATTTTAGGGTTAATTTTATGGCTAGACTTTTATATTTGGAGGGCAAATTGCTTTGTTTTATTTGTTGTTTTTATGTTAATGTTAGTTATATAGTTAATGACTAATAGAATTTAGTCACTTAGTGCTTTAATTGTTTTTGAGAATGATTAATGATTTGTATGGCATATTTAAGGTTTAAAATAATTTGGATTCGAGCATTTCAAGCATGTTCGCGAACGGCTCGTTTATGTTAAACGAGTCGAACACGAACTCGAACTCGAACTCGAACATGAACTTTGCTTAACGAGCCGAACACGAATACAGGTTTGGAGTTTGAAAATTAACGAATGAACACGAATGTTGTTCGAATCACTCAATGAATAGAGCTCAAACATGAGATACTCTATTCGATTTGACTCATTTACAGCTCTAAATTTCTCTAAACTAGAAGATGTAATTAAACACCACCTTTTATATATTATTAGAAGCCCTTGATAGGGAAATTAATAAAAAAGCTGGATTATTTATAAGCTTCTTTTAGGGGGAGAGAGTGTAAATGAGTGGTCTCAGATTCAAGACCTCCCACAAACACTAAAAGAAAAGTTTTTTTTTTTAAAATTTTGTATATGAAAGGTTTTGAACTCAGGATCTCCTATTTACAATCTCTCACCTTACCATCTAATCCAACACAATCCACGCCTATTAGCTTCATTTATTTGCCAATAACGAGACTGCAAAGGCCGAGCGGCAGTTTTGATTTTGATAGTTTGAAATCGTCTACAAGGCATTAGAGTACGTTCTATCCATAGAAAATGAAGGGCACCTGATTTATTTATGTTCTTATTTTTAATTTGTTGACAACATTTGACAAAATCGTCTGTTGTAAATTTTCCTTTTTTATACTTTGCCTTGAGATGAACTTTGAATGTTGAGGGGAAACAATAAGAAAAGCAATGGGTTTAAACTTGTTCATGCAAAAGAGGCACTACAAGTCACATAAAACATCAAAACTGAAAATTTGTAAACTAAATGAGCAGTTTTATTAGTTAGCAAATACTGCTAACTATCCTTAATTTAGCTGTGATACAGACCATAATAATAAGGTGCAAGCAGACAGCACATACACAAACTCAGCCACATCATTAGAAGATAAATTGGATGGTGGATTACATTCAACCTATCAGCAATTACAAGCTTGGCAGGGACACATACACAAGCAGTATATATAAAGACATGGACAAAGCCTAAATTTGTTGATGTCTGCTAGAGGGTTGAAAGTTTTACTTATGGCAGTAACATTACTAGTGGACTCGTTCGGGTTTGGATGACTTAGGTGGGAGAGTCTGATTTTTTCTGGAGATGCATTCCCAGTTTCTGCGATCTGCACAGGCACAGCTACACCTAAGTTGGACCAAATAGCAAAAATCAGGATAAGGGATGCTATGGTTAGGAGGGAGGATTTGGCCATGGTGAAATTGAAGGTAGAAGGAAGTTGAGTTTTAGGGGTTGGATTGAGAGGAATTTATATTGGATTTCATGTGTGTGTTTCCATGGAAAATTAATAGCAAGTTTGATTCGACTTAATTTATGGTATTAAATGTATATTTTTCAGTATACAGCAAAAAAAATTTCGCATTTGGTGCAATTAATAAGATGATTTCTTACCATTCTTAAGTAATACATTATCCCCAGCGATATCTATCACTAGTATGAATCTCGTGCATATCTTTTTGCTTATGACAAATAAGGGAAGGATAAAGAAAGGTCAAAATAGAGGGGATGCTTTAAAACTAATAAAATAAAATACTATAATAGGAATTGAAATATTAGAGAAATGAGTAGAGAAATGGAGAATGATTTTCTTATTATTTCAACTAATATCAAAAGTAATCCCAAGAGGTGCCAAGGTACCTCTATATATAGGCACTATAAAATTAAAGGTACATCAACTTTATTAAACGCTCATTACTACAAGAACATGAATAATCTATGAAATAGTTCTTCCAATACATGAGTGGATTTATGGATTGAAACCGTTCATCCATTGTAACCCTTTATATAATGTAGCAATGAATTATGAATTAATTCCTTTGGAATCAATGAATTATGAATTAGTTCTCTTGAGAATACAAATGGACATCCACACTTTTAATTGTTTCATAACACTCCCCTTTGGATGTCTATTACACAAAGAATATGCCTCGTTAAAACCTTACTAGGAAAAAATCCATTTGGATAAAAATCCTAGTGAAGGAAAAATAGTACACTATTCCTGTGTATTAATTTCTTTCCCTGATACAAACATCATTTGAGATCTTTTAATCGTCGCATTTCAATATTTTTTACTAATTTCTCAAATGTTGGAGTCGGCAATGTTTTGGTAAATAAATCTGTCAAATTATTATCTGATAAGATTTGTTGCACATCAATTTCACCATTCTTTTGCAAATCATGAGTAAAAAAGAATTTTGGTGAAATATGTTTCGTCCTATCTCCTTTAATATATTCTCCTTTCAATTGAACTATACAAGTTGCATTATTTTCATATAATATAGTTGGAGAATTTTCTTTTTTGGAGGATAACCCACAACTCTTCCGGATGTAGCGGATCATTGATCTTAACCAAACACATTCTTGATTGGCCTCATGAATTGCTATTATTTCAGCATGATTCGATGGAATTGTGGTTAATTATTGTTTTGTAGATCGCCACGAAATAGTTGTACCTCCATATGTAAATAGATAACCATTTTGAGATCTTACTTTATGCAAGTCAGATAAATATCCAGCATCAGCATAACCAAGTAATTCAGGTTTGGATTTAGTTGAATAAAATAAACCAAGATCAATTGTTCCTTGGAGATAGTGAAAAATATGTTTAATACCATTCCAATGTCGTCTTGTGGGCAAGAAACTAAATTTTGCTAATAAATTCATTGCAAATGATATATCAGGTCTTGTACAATTAGCAAGATACATTAGTGCACCAATTGTACTGAGATATGGTACTTCAGGACC